TATATATAGTATATATATTTTTACGAAATGTGGACTAAGGTCGTTGTTCCATAAAAGTCTCATTGTCAGTCTATGTTTCATTCGAACGTATTTAATATTTATTATATATTCTAATATTTAATATATATTTAATATTTATAAATATGTTTATTTTACCTACTTTCAATCATAGATTCTCTCTTTGGCTTTCTCCTTCTTTAAATTTTCTGAAACATAAATCTAGCTTTGACTTCTTATCTAGCTTTAACTTTTTTATTTTGATATATGACCATGATATTGAGGAAGCATGATAAATGATAAAGAATTGTGAAAACCGTTCGATAAAGGGGCATTAGAGTAATATATACGGACGTTAGATAGTAGGGGAGGGGGGATATGTAGATGTGGAAAGAAAGGCGGACGCGTCCTCGGCTCGTTCAACATTGTAAACAGCAACATTGCGCGGGCAAGAGAGAATGTAACGGTCCCCCCGGGATTGAGCAATCGTTTCCGTTCCGTCGTCCCTGTTCGTTTATGGTGTATCTTGCGTATTGCAGCTCCACCGATGGGAATGTGAAATCCTTGGAGCGTTATAGCCGTTAGAGACTTCGGACAATTTCGACGCGGGCGTGCCATTCAATTGGATTAAACGTTGCGCTCATTTCGTACAATGTATCCCGGGATTGTGTTACTGTGTATCGTTGCAATGCATCTCACCCGTTCGTCGATGCGTGAATTTGTTTTCGCGAAATTTATCGCATTCTCGTATGCGAGACATCGGTTAATTGATTCCGAAATAAATACGACATAATTTTCTCCTTTAATTCCTCGTTTTGTATTTTCAAATACATCGCGTTTCTCGTATACGTAACACCGGGTGAAAGTAAACACTCGAAATTAAAATGTAAATTGAATTATAAAGATTTTCAAAACAAATATTATTTGTTTATCTCTCGATATACCTGATACTTTTTATACACGATGAGTAATTTGTTTTCGTCGGTTTTTCAATTTCCAGCCTTCCGATGTCAATGTTCAACATTGAAATACGGAGGCTATTTGTTCTCTAATCACGCACGCTGGATAAGCGTCTGTCAGACGCACATGTCGCCGTTCCTCGTAACAGGATGCTTGCCGCGGCTAATTCAACCGTGTGTATTAGAGCACATGAATAGAGATGATCGTTTGATGAGACGTACACGCGAGATGATATCTCCATTATTCTACGATAATAGGAGTATCGCTGGGGAAAGGCCGATTGTGATTGCGGATTCCGTGCCAGAAAAAGTAACTATGCGACTTTCAGTATGCGCCGACGTTGCCCCTCTCTCTTTCTCTCGATAATGATAACTCACGTACGTACGTATACGGAGAAAAGCGATTGTTCGATGATTCGCGATGAGAGATTGGCTCGAATCGAAATGCGAACGCGCGCGGGGATTCCCAACGCGATTTCCTTCCCTTCCGTCACGAAATTTCCCTTTATACTTTCCGAACGCTGCATATTTTACCTCTTTCATGTCTCGCCATTGGAAGAGATACCAAGCGGATTTGAAGTAGAGACTGCAATTTTTATTGTGACGTTAACTCAAGCTCCTTTCCAGCAGACTTCTGCTTTCAAAAGACTATTGCTTTCATTCGTGGCTTTTAACCTAATTGAAATAACGATGTAAAAGTAGGAAAATAGATATATTATAAAATTCATAAAAAAAGAGAGATAATTGAAAATGGTAAAGATTCTTTATAAATTTATGAGATTGTAAAGTTTTCAAAACTTTGTTGGTTAAAAGCCACAGTAAAAGTCAAAAGTAACACATTATAAAGTTATTATTTTAATATAAAAATTTATACTTTACGTAATTACTCGATATTATAATAGGGGATTGAAACTTGTGGCTTCGACTGGAGCACCCCGAATGAAATGTGGGGGCGGAGGTATAGTTGTTCTAATCGATGCCGCGTGACGAGGGCGTGCTATCGCGTGTCGCAACGAGAGAACGATTAAGCCGCGCGCGTGTAGACGGGGCGAGATCCACGTGCGATTCACAACCACAGTTTATTTCCTCGGAGCATCCGTTCATTGTTCGCCGCGACGATGCTGCGCGAGGGGTTCATGCGTTTATGTTTACAACATCATCGCTGCAAGTTTGAGAATACGGTTATGTGGAATCGGGCACGTTCACGGAACGTGATCTTGCGGATAACAAAGTTCTCGAACCTGCCCCTGCAGGTGAGAGCAAAGAGCCGTTCGCGTACTGAACGCGGCTTGTAACCGTTCGCTGCGAAACATCGAGGAAAAGTGGTTATCGGATAACGTGCGTGTTACGCGTCACGCACGTTTGATCTTTCTTTTTTTTTTTTTTTTTTTTTTTTTTTTTTTTTGATTTAAGAGAGGATATAAGCGTTTATTTTATAAAATGACATTTTCGTTACAACATATTTTATGTATATATGTACAGATGTAGACATGAAAAATGTATTCAAATGCACGTCAAAATCATTATGATATTAATCTATCATTACGGTGAAAGTATATGTTTGATTTGAATATCTCAGCAGCCTTTATGTTACTTTGCGACGCGAGGATTTTAAATTGACATTTTTATTTCGACGCGTTAAAAAAATGCTTCCGCGTTTTCCGCGCGCATGGTGAGGTTGTTGAATAATTTAATTAAAATGGGTTTTATTGCCGCACCACGCGCGGCACAGATTTTGCGATAAATGTATGACTCATAAATTTCACAATATAGTAACGTACCACGAGAATCGCAAGATTATTGCGCGATATTGTAAATGCGGAATTTAACAAATAATTTGACACTTTTAGATTGCACGAATATTTCGATTTAATCGCTTAATTTTGTGACGAAAAATCGTTCGTTCGAAATTTTTGCGAAACTTTCCCAAACGACATCTCTTTTTGCGATTCGCTTCGACATAAATCGTCAGTCAAAAAATCCGCTTGCGTTTCAAACGCAACGGAGAGTTTGGTTCGCGTTGCGTCTCCCGAGAGGGAAAAATGGTAACTCATTTTTTTTCCACGTGAAACGCCGTTTAGATAAGCACTTTCTAATGCACGCATCGAAAGTTTTACTCTTACACAAGCGATAAGCGAGCCAGCGTTCTCCGCTAGCACGTTTCAGTTAATGGTGTGTATGTATGCACGAGAGTTTATCCCCTATAATCCCTATCCTTTTTAAGCGCGTGTTTTCTTTATACACATAGATCTTAAATTATCATAATTTTGTATGTGATAAGTAAAATTGCATTATTTCTCTTTACAGATTCTTAATATTTATTTATTCTGAACAAATAATTAATTTATTGAACTTTTTTAGAAAAAAGAATATGCTTTATTTTATAAGATCGGTAAACAATTTTTTAAAAATATATAGAACCATTTTTTTAAGTTATGAACATACATACATATGTTTTGGAAATTTAAATTCACAAAAAATATTTGTAAATTTAAATTTATTTGTAAGTTTATTTTTCATGATATAATTCATATATAAGAACTTTATATCATTGAAATTATATTATCAAAAGTAATAGAAAATTTTAAATTTATATTGTAAAATTATATATATATGCGCGCGTGCTACACACACTCTTGTTTATATTCAGATATATAAAGTACGAGTTAGCATAAAGCGATAGAATTAAATTCGCGTAGTTTAATAATATCATTACAAGTTTAATTCATATTTGAGCCGTATAAATTTTAACAAAACAAACAAAAGGAAAGAAAAAAGATGATACGGTTTGGCATTGTCACTCGAGTATGTGTGTATTGTGCCAGTTAGATAGTCGTATGCTGGCTGTAACGGTCCGCTGCGGCCTCCGTGGCACAGTTTTACATCTTCTCTATTATACCTCTGTTTAAATTTTCCAAGTGCATCGTTAGACTGATTACTGTCTTGTTTCTCGCCGTCGACAGCTAACCCGTGATTTGTCCCTCCCGTCATAGAAAGGCGCAGAGGCGCGCGTAATACGACGAAACGAAGAAAGAGAGACATGATTTTCCTTAACTTCTTTATCCCAAACAGAATAGAAAGCAAACACGAGGTGACAATCCTAGGAGGACTAAATGAATTCTCCGTCAAGTTCTACGGTCCACGAGGGAGTGAGTATACCATCTCTTTTATACTATATTATAAACAAGAAACGAGTGCAATATATGGAACTAAATTTTATTCGAGGTCATCAATTTAGAATGATCATTTGAATATAATTGAATTGTTCTATATTATGCAACGCTCCATACTGGTCGTAACGTTTACGATAATTTGTAGTTAATTTAATCAGCGTTATAATTTTTCTTTTGCAATTCAATCATTCAATTAAGTTACATAAAATGATAATTAGATATATTATAATTTGATTCGTTAAAAAATTTATTTCAATTTCATATATATAACTTAAAATAAGATACGATGTGATTTGCAATCAGCAAAGTGCAATTACGGATAAAGATGTTTATCACTGCAATCTTACCTGACATTGAAGCCACATTAATGCAGTACTCGATGGATGTCCTTCGCGTTTTTTTGTGTCACGCTTAATTTTATAGTTTCTTGCGTATCACCTTGTATTGCTATTATTAACGTTATTACATTATTACTGGAATTAAATACACGTCTGAAAATGCGTGTCGCGATTACTATCTTTATAATTTGGGTTGTTAGTAATTTTACGAATTTTATGACACGTTTGACGGCACGTGTAGTTTATTAATTGGTATGCTTTTTGTTTCTATTGTAATTCTATTGTAATTGTATTAAACACTATAATCTATCGTGAAGCTTCTTAAAATTTTCGCACTTGCAATCGTAAGATAGAATATGATTAAAACATGACGGCAAGAGTCGTTTCATATGTTTTCACTTCATGATATTCCAAGGTTCCATGCGCATCTCTTAGAACCGGATACGCTTATGCAACTGTCTCGTACTTGCGATTTTCTCGGTTTGCTGGACATACGTGTGAAGCATATTATCGATTGGCAGGCGTCTCTCGCGAAAGGAAGTTCCTTGACTCGACCAAAGAGACACACACAGCTGTTCCTAAGAGGACGTTTTCAAGCAGATCATGTCGAAGATAATGACATGGCTGTGTGTGTTTATCCGTTTACTATAGATAATACAAACAGGTTGCAGACTGTTTCGTAGACAGCAGTTAAAAAAGAGATTATCGCGGGAATTTAAAATTTATATTTGTATAAATTTTTATCACAAAACCGATTCATAAAATCGAACTTTTTTCTTCAATTCAAATCGTGAAGGAATAAATCGAAATCGTGATGATCAACATAAAATAGGATGATAAATTGTAAGCTGCGAGATTGAATTTTGTTGTTGTTTGAGAAGAAAAGGAAATCGCAATTTCGCATTGAACGAAACAAATTTACGGATTCGTGATTTCATCAATTTGCTGTGCTCACTTTAGCGGGTCGACTGAAATTCTACAATCGCGAGTAATGAATTTCGCTCTGCCACGGTGGAAAGCAAGCCGTTCGAAGATGAAAGTTTCTTGACCCTCAGATCGCGCCGGTAAATCAGTTGAAATCGCGCGATTACCTTCATTCGTAAACTCTTTAAATTAGATCGCGTTTCAGATAGATCCTTTGAAACGGCGCAGCTGCATCCGCGAGTATAACTTCATTTGCTTAAAACCAGAATGGGGCTTTTACTCTGACGAGATATGCTACATTTGCGGCAGAACGTACCGCAGGATAATCTTTGCCTGGATTGCCCGAACAAATTGTAGAAACGTGATATTCAACGTAATCGGATTCGATGCCATTTGCCTTATGTATCGCTAAAATACGCAAAAGATCTGTACAAGATTCGAAAGCTAGAGTAGAAAAAAAATTATAAAATATAGTATCATATTTTTAACTTATGATTGGAATATTAATGTCGTTTTTCATTCTAATATTTTATTGCTTACATTGTTAAAATACCATTAAAAATTTTTTTTTTCTATTAAAATTGTATGTATATTTACATTAAAAAAATACACCTTGCATTTTCTCAGTGTTTATCTACATGTTATCTTATTTTTTGGGGGAAATGAAGGACCGCAAGTACAATTTTTTTGAAACATTAATGAAACGTTAATTTATTCTTAAATTTTGCATCTGTTCTCAAATCCACTAATTGTAGGACTTGCGATAGATTAAGAAGAGCTTATTTGGCCGTTCCTGGGTCTGGGTGTTAATATGGTGCTGATAATACAGAGTACTCGATTATTTCGTCTTCCGCGATCGATCGTTGTAGCTCGTAATTGCATAATCAATTTTATGTATTCTCTTTTTTCTCTATATACGCGTGTACGGCTTCGCTTGTCCAGCCACCCTTCACTTGCCGCCGTCGACGAATTAGTATCATCGAACTACCCCCGGAACGATGTAACTCAGATCGTGTTTCAGACAACCCTCTCGGCAAATGATGCAGCTGCAGGTGCGTGCGAGTTCGTTTACATGCGTTCATTTTCCAGTCGCAAGATAGATGAAAGCGCATATATTCGTGGAATATAGTTGGTATTTTAACTACGAAAAAAAAGGACACATAACTGAGTCTCTACAACAATCGGAAAACTTTTCGAGCGATATTTGAACCTCGTCTTGTGCAATTATAAAATTATCTAAATATATCGAACAAATCTGTTGATTTGTTTTTAAACGAGAAATAAAATAATTGCTTGCTCGCGTATTTTTTTTTTAGCGGTTTTAATTGCGGTTAAATTCTGGAAACGCATATGAAACAGGTATTTAAAATACAACAAAGCATATTACGAGAGAAGCTTACATAAGTTTACGCTAATGAAACAACTTTTTTAGATACTCTCGTAATGTTTTAAACAGATCGCGCTGCATGTTATGCGCTAATTCTTTTCAACTATATTAGCGAAATTATTTTAACATTTTTGCAGCTAATTACAATTGTTTTCTCTTATATTTTCAGAATATTTAGTTTTTTAAAAGTCATATAAATAAATCCCTTTGAATATAGGATTTCGAATATAGCTGTAATGTTAAACATACAATATTAGAACACGAACTGTTCAATTTGTTTATTTAATTATTTTGGACCGCTATTAAATATTCCTCGCAGTTTCGAATGGATGTAGAACATTAATATACTTTCACCTCGCAATTGCTAAACTAGTGTTGGTTATTCTTGTTTCATGCTGTTCGAAACGACAATCTCATATGTGTTTGAATATCCTTGCAGTCTCTTTTCATTCGAATATATAATTATATATAATATACATGTATATATATTTATTATATATATATGTACATTCTTAATATATATATATATATATATATATATATATATATATATATATATATATATATATATATATATATATATATATATATATATATATATATATATATATATATATATATATATATATATATATATATATATATATATATATATATATATATATATATATATATATATATATATATATATATATTAAGAATGTACATATAATTACAAAATATATATATTTATGTGTATGTATATATATAACTACGGAGCAGTATTTTTTGTGTCATATCTCGTTACATAACTTACCGCATAAATCTACATGAGTCAATAAGTCTCCGCGATTTTATTATCGATCGAGAATCGTTTCGATGGATTATTAGCGCTCGAACATGAATTAAATTCCAGTTACATATCGGATATTCGCGCTCTGCACACAAGCGTTGAAAATAGATTTGGTGAACGGCAAACTGCAGGATGATGAACAGAGGTTTTCGGCATAACAGATTCTCCTTTGTTGCATTCAAACGTGGCATAAACTGCGAGAGATTCGTGGCTATACGACATGTTTTCTCATTGAATGATGGGAACTGGGCAAAGTGTCGTTGGTGAATATTGAAAATGTTTTAAGTAGCTTATTATTCGCGACGGAACTTTGTTTTGATTAAATTATTCGATAAAATTTAATTTTGTTTCATAGAATTTGTAAAAAGTGAACGGTTCATAAATTTCGAGGTCATTCTCAGAATTTATATATAAATGAAATTCTTTAAAGAGAAGCGAAATTCTATTGTATTACCGTCACGATTTTCACGAACGAAATGTGTGCCGGATAATATTAATATACGCGATTCGATTGAGAAAGAAACTGCAGAAGATCATATCTATTCCGATAGATTCCATCGGATTATGAGATAAAAATGTAATTTTGCATGTACAACGTGCGATATTCGTGCGAATAAGGCAATAAATCTAATTTTAATTTATATAATATGCATATAATCTGTTTCAAACGATATAATGTTTCGCAGAATTGCTAATTACACGAATCGGACCAATATCGATATTACAAATTATATACTTTAATAAGATGACCCGGCTTCTGATATCTCTGGTAATCTAAATGATTGAATTACGACATGTATATCTCTGTATAGTGTATGCACGCGTTGGGTTTTTAAATCTGTCGGTTTAGCAGTTTTATTTGTCTAAACATGTTTTGCATATTTAGAGTTAGCATAGATATTTATAACTTTATAATCGCTATTTATTAGAAACGATATGTAAAAAAAAAAAATCCATGTTTCTAAAAGGCAAAAAATAGAATATATTCATCGCTCGTGTTTAGAATACGAATGAATATTTCGTTCGCTATCGATATCGCGTTCTCGCCGTTTTTAGTTGTAATCGTGCTTTAAGATTGCATAATGCGTTCACCTTGACTCTGTATTAATGTATCGGAGCCCTTGAACGGCTGCCGGCTCCGTTTAAAATATGCCTCTATATCGGAGGCGTGCGCAAAAGTTTCTATAATTTTGCCCAATCATCATTTCGTAACAAGTCTCGCTTGCGTTAAAACAAAAAATTTTCATTTATATTACAATGCAATTAATTACTGCCAACTATCGTAAGATTCGCGTAACAAATACAAACGTTAAAATTAACGTCATTGATGAGCTAAATTTCCATAGCCGTAACTTTTGCAAAAAATATTAGATAGACTATCTTTCATTTCTACAAATTAATTTCTTCATTTATCTCATCTTCCTATGATCTAGTTTTACGTAATTTTGTTTAATAAAAAATATTTATTTTTTCCCAATTAAAATAATTCACATAT